GGGCTGGGCCGGAGGCCAGAACGCCGGTCTGCAGGCGGAGGCGGGCGCTCCTGAGATGCCATCTCTTTCCGAGCGCGGCGCTGGGGCGACCCCAGACGCCTGAGCAGGCCCTGGCAAGACCGACCGGGTAGCTCTGCGCCCGAGTCTGACCTCGGCAGACCCGGCCGGGCGGGCGGAGCGCAGGCGCCACCTGGCGGCCGCCAGGAGCCAGCGCACCCCCCCATCCAGAGTCAGCTCTAGTGGGATCATCCGGCCCCTCTCAGCCAGCCTGCTGCTGTGACTCGGTGGCATTGCTGCGACCATCCCCCGGGGGCGGAAAAGTGGGGGCGGGGGGTCTGTCTGTTAACTGGTCATTTTTGGTGCCGGGGGTCGAACTCATAACTTTGTGCTTGCCAGGCCGGTGCTTATGCCACTGAGCTAAATCCCCCGGCCCGTCTGTTCACTTTTTGTTTGTTTTTCCAGGCCAAGTCTCACTGTGTGGTTCAGGCTGGCCCGGAACTCATTACACAGCCCGGGCTGGCCTGGAACCTGCAGGCATCTTGCCTCTACCTCCTGGGGTGCTGGGATTCGGGGCCTGGGTCACCACGCCCTGCTGCTGTGTGACTTTTGAGACAAGTCATAGAAAGGACTGCGGTGGCCTCTTTACACTCTCCGTGGGTCGCCGGCTCTGGGATGACGAAGCCATCTTGTGTCAGGGACGCTCAGGCAGTGCCACAGCAAGGCCCACGTGACAAGGACCTGTCCCCTCTTGCCACAGGTTTGGGGTGAGCCAGGCAGCAGACCCTTCAGCATCACAGCCAAGGCCACCACATTAACTGGGACCTCATGGGATGCACTGAACTGGAAACTTCCAGCAGGGCTGCTCCCAGATTTTTTGTGTTTGTTTTTTGAGACAGAGTCTCGCTATGTAGCCCAGGATGGCCTTGAATTCACAGCAATCTGGCTGTCTCAGCCTCTTGAGTGCTGGGATTACAGGTGTGCACCACCACACTTGGCTCTAGATTCTTGATTCTTAGAAACCAGGACACGATCAAGCTGCTAAATCTGAAGGTAATTTGTTACACGGCAGTGATAACTGATACAACTGCTCTTCAGTCAGTTTTATTCCTGGACAGGACAAATCTGCTCATTGCCACCACAAATACTGTGGGATTTATTATTACATCTTCTGAGTACTGAGCACTGACTTAGGAGCATCAGAGTGGACAGAAGAGCTCATACGCCCACTTGCATGGAGCCCCCAGGCTGGTGGAAAAAACAGTTTGTAAGCGAAGAAGTGTAGAGCACGATGGTGGATGCCTGTAATCCCAGCACTCAGGAGGCTGAGGCAGGAGGATTGTTGTGAATCTGAGGCCAGTCTGGGTTACAAAGTGAGTTCAAGGCCAGCCTGAACTGCACAGTGAGATCCAGTCTCAAAAACAAGATAAGAGAAGAACAACTCTGCAAAAAGTGAGGAAAAATATATAGGCTGTAAAGCCGAGGATAGCGGGGCATGCCTGTAACCTCCGCCCTTTGGGAGTCTGAGGCAGGAGGATCATACGTTGAGGATTTAGCAATTTAGGGAGACCAGGTCTCAAAAAAAATTCAAAAAGCATTGTGGGGGCTGGGGATTTAGCTCCGCGGTATAAGCACCTGCCTAGCAAGCATGAGGTTAGTTCAATCCCCGTTACCAAAAAAAAAACCCCCAAAAACCAAAATACCCAAAAAAGGATCGTGGATGTAGCTCAGTGCAAAGGCCCTGGCTTCAATCCCCAGTGCTATCCCCGCCATGTTAAAGTTGGGTGTGTACATGTGATAAATACTGCAAAAATAAATCTAGCCAAGTTGGGTTCAGGGTCACTCTGAGAAGATGACATTTGAGGGACACCAGTGTCTGAAGAAGAGGATGCAGGCCCCTGCTTGCGCCTGCCTAGGGACACTCCCTCTGGCCCCTGTGTGCTGCTGGGGGTCCTGGTGCCAGGTTCGCTGTCCTCTCTCTCCTGCCTGTCCAGTCCAGCCGTCCAGTCCAGGGGAGAGGGCAGCTTCCTTCCTGGCCCTGGCGGGGCTCCAGCCTGGCCATTGTGTGCTCAGCCTCAAGGCCACCCCCGCTCCCGCAGCCACTTGAGACAGGGCATCTGGGGCCAGGGAAGGACAGGGCTGGCTGTGAGTGCCCCAAGAACCTGGCCTGGGGGCTCCTGGGTCAGTCAGTCCTGCCCTCTCTGGGCTAAATCCTAGCTGAGCAGCTGTGAGAGTGACCTGTTCCTTGTAACGTTTTCTTTCTTTCTGTCTCCCTTTCTTTCTTTCTTTCTTTCTTTCTTTCTTTCTTTCTTTTTTTTTTTTTTTTTTTGTCAAACCATTCTGCCTCTGGGAACTTAACTTCCAGATCACAAAAATCAACACAACCTGACAGTTTGTAAGTGAAGAAAAAGAGTCCGGCACTTCGGAGCACACTTGCAATCTCAGCACTCAGGAGGTTGAGGCAGGAGGATCACTGTGATTTTAGGCCATCCTGGGCTACACAGTGAGTTCAAGAACAGCCTGCACTACAAAAGGGGACCCTGTTTTTTTGTAAGTCACTCGTCACCCAGATCAGTCATTAAGAAATTCAGCCTCCAGCTGCCCTTCGGGAAGAGCCAGCACCCTGACCAAGGCAGGGGCTGGGAGTGGGACCCTGCTGGGAATCAAACCCAGGGCCTTTGCTCTGAGCTCCAACCCCAGCTGTAAGTTCTATTTTTATTCTTTATTTTGAGACAGGGTGTCCCTAGGTCGCTAAATGCTGCATGTGTGCTCCCTGTGTCTCAGCCTCCTGAGTGCTGGCTTTACAGGCCTGAGCCTCCCTGCGGGGTTTAGAGATTTGCATTTTTAATGAGCAGCTGGGAGGTGCGGGGAAGGGAGGCTGAGGCAGCCGCGCTCTGCTGGCCCTGCCCGGGAGCTGCGGCGGGAAGGCGCCAGGAGCCGGTTCCCGGGAAGCCTCCCGCGGGGCCCTGGGCCGAAATGGCGCTGACCCGGAGTGGGGCGAGCCTGCGCGGCCGGGGTGGCGGAGGGTCCGGAGCCGGAGGCCGGGCGCAAAGCATCTGCCCCCCTGCGCTGGGCCTGGGCCTGGGCCTGGGCGTCCGACCCGGTCCTGGGGCTCTGGGTGCGGAAGGGGACGCTCAGGCCCCGAACAGCGCCCCCGCTGGCGGCCGTGGGGAGTGGGAAAGCTGGAGTCTGATCTGCAGCTCCGTGCCTCAGTTTCCCCACCTGTCAAGCTGAGGAACTGCGGTAACTCCTCCAGCGCTGGTTGTAGGAGTTCACTGAGCTTGTGTGTCAAAAGGACGAAACTGATGCTAATTTCTTTGGGAGAACTTGTAAACTGGGGTAGTTTTTTTTTTTTTTTGGTACCAGAGATTGAACTCACCACCTCCCATTTGCCAGGTAGGCGCTGTGCCACTGAGCTAGATCCTCGGACCATTGTTTTTGTTTTCTTGAGGCAGCCGTACAACTCAGGCTGGCCTCGAACTCACTACAGAGCCCAGGCTGGCCTTGAACTTGCAGTGATCCTCCTGCCTCAGCCTCCCCAGTGCTGGGATCCCAGGTGGGCCACTATGCTGGGCTGTTGGTGTTTGATGGTTCGTCACTCTGTCTTAACTGTGAGGGCCGTGGCTGGCCTACTTGGGAGGACACAGTGAGGAGCCCGGAGATGCCCAGGGGACGGGAGACCAGGTCCTGGGACACTTGAGCCTTGCACCCTGAGGACACAAAATCTTCTTGACCTAGAAACCCAAGCTGCTGCTCTCTCCTGCCCCTGCCCCAGCTCCCCACGCCCTTCCTGCCGGCCTGTTTCATCCCAGAACCTCTGTTATTTGGGACAGCAACAAACACAAGAAAAAGACTGCACTTCCCAGCCTGCCCCCCAAGCTAGGGCAACGGTGTGACCAAGAGCTGGCTAGTGTAAGTGGGAGTTGTTGGGCTGGATTTGGGGGAAACTTCTTTCAAAGGGACACAGTCTGTAAACTGATTTGGAGATTTGTGCTTTTTTTTCTGCTTCTTGCATGGAATGTGGATGAAGCAGCTGCAGCTCCAGCAGCCATTTTGGGCCACGTGGTAATTGCGAGTCTAGAAGCCCCCAGCTATGGTCAACAGAAGCAGGAAGGTAGAAAGAGCTGTGTTTCCAGTGACACCGAGGGGCCTCTACTTCAGCTCCAAATAACCTGTTTCTGGGCTGTGTGTATTGCCAGGGCTCACACCCAGGGCCTCATATATATACCAGATGAGTGGGCTACCACTGAGCTATACACCAGTGGTAGGCTGCTTTTTATTGTGTGTGCTGGTAATTAAACTCAGAACCTTGTACTTTTCAGGCAGGTGTTGTGCCACTGAGCTATATCCCCAGCCTGTTCCTTGTTTGTTTGAAACAGGGTCTAGCTATGCAGCCCAGGCAGGAAGTTGCCCAGACTGGCCTCAAACTTGCAATCCTCTTGCCTCAGCCTCTGGGGTATTGGGATTACAGCTGTGCACCGCCATGCCTGGCTACAATCCGGATTTTATACCCCCGTGCTGGAGTTCTTTACAGCCCAGTATTTCAGCGCTAGAGCCAACCCCGCAGGGGCATCTCGGTCCCTGCCCAAGGAACCTTTCTCTGCCCCACTGCCTCTGACCGGAGAGGCCAGAGCTCTGCCCTAGGGCAGGCGGTGGGAGAGGGGGCGGGTCCTGCGCCCCCCTCCCCCAGCTCTCCTGGCCTTGCCCCCAGCCCCTTCATCAGCACCTGAGGCCTCTCCGGTGGCTTGGATCACGCAAGTGGGCCCAGAAGGTGTGGGACTCTGCCTGAGAAGTGGGGAGTCCCAGCTGGGCCTCAGAGCTGGATGGCCAAGGTGCTCCCGCTTGGTGCCGCTAGGAGGCGTGGTCTTGGGTCCCCTGGGGAGCAGGACCCGCAGCTAGAACCTGGAGTGCACGGCGCAGCGCCCCCCACCCACGTCTGCTCGCGCATGCGTCGCGACGGGCGGGAGGGTGCTTGGAAGCAGAGGCCACACTCGCGTGCGCTGACCAGGACGTTTATTTGGGGGGGTCTGTGACAGCTGGGGAGGCGCAGGGACCCTGGGCACTAACTCGAGGTGGACGGGCAGGCGCAGGACCTGGGCCGCACCCTTGCTGGAAGTGGGAGGTGACAGTGGCGCTCTGCTCTCCCGAGGGCTCCGCGGTGGCTTCGCTGCCGCTACTCCAGGGCTGCGGACAGGACGGGCAGAGGGGGCGAAGGGGACGGAGGGGACCTCAGCGAGCTGCTGGCCCCGGCCCGGCCCGCCTCTGCCCGCCCACCCAGCCCCACCGCCCGCGCTCAGCCTGTGCAGGTGCAGGGTCAGGAGGCTGTCGCGGTCCTCGTCTGGACTGGGAGAAGAGAGACAGGTGAGACATCCCCGGCTTGGTGGCACCGCTGCCAGGGTGGGCGGGGACGGGGCTCCGCCCCTCAGGCAGGGACCAAGCCCAGGGGGCCCTACTGGGAGGACCCCAGAAGAGAGAGGCTGTGGGGTGCAGAGTGGGTCCCTGATCCTGGAAGCTTCCAGTGGGAGGTGACAGTGCCATCCGCACTGAGGCGCAGGACTCCTGCCAGGGCCCAGGCTGATGGAGGAGACTCGGTCCCTGACCCCGGGGACCCCCGTCTGATGGGAGGAGACTCGGTCCCTGACCCCCGGGACCCCCAGTCTGATGGAGGAGACTCGGTCCCTGACCCCGGGGACCCCCGTCTGATGGAGGAGACTCGGTCCCTGACCCCGGGGACCCCCAGTCTGATGGAGGAGACTCGGTCCCTGACCCCGGGGACCCCCGTCTGATGGGAGGAGACTCGGTCCCTGACCCCCGGGACCCCCAGTCTGATGGAGGAGACTCGGTCCCTGACCCCGGGGACCCCCGTCTGATGGAGGAGACTCGGTCCCTGACCCCGGGGACCCCCGTCTGATGGAGGAGACTCGGTCCCTGACCCCGGGGACCCCCAGTGTGATGGAGGAGACTCGGTCCCTGACCCCGGGGACCCCCAGTCTGATGGAGGAGACTCGGTCCCTGACCCCCGCGACCCCCAGTCTGATGGAGGAGACTCGGTCCCTGATCCCCGGGATCCCCAGTCTGATGGAGGAGACTCGGTCCCTGACCCCCGGGACCCCCAGTCTGATGGAGGAGACTCGGTCCCTGACCCCGGGGACCCCCAGTCTGATGGAGGAGACTCGGTCCCTGACCCCGGGATCCCCAGTCTGATGGAGGAGACTCGGTCCTGATCCCCGGGATCCCCAGTCTGATGGAGGAGACTCGGTCCTGATCCCCGGGATCCCCAGTCTGATGGAGGAGATTCGATCCCTGATCCCCGGGGACCCCCAGTCTGATGGAGGAGACTCGGTCCCTGACCCCGGGGACCCCCAGTCTGATGGAGGAGAGTCGGTCCCTGACCCCGGGGACCCCCAGTCTGATGGAGGAGACTCGGTCCCTGACCCCGGGGACCCCCAGTCTGATGGAGGAGAGTCGGTCCCTGACCCTGGGGACCCCCAGTCTGATGGAGGAGACTCGGTCCCTGACCCCGGGGACCCCCAGTCTGATGGAGGAGAGTCGGTCCCTGACCCTGGGGACCCCCAGTCTGATGGAGGAGACTCAGTCCCTGACCCCCGGGACCCCCAGTGTGATGGAGGAGATTTGATCCCTGACCCCCGGGAACCCCCAGTCTGATGGAGGAGACTCGGTCCCTGACCCCGGGGACCCCCAGTCTGATGGAGGAGATTCAGTCCCTGACCCCGGGGACCCCCAGTCTGATGGAGGAGACTCGGTCCCTGACCCCGGGGACCCCCAGTCTGATGGAGGAGACTCGATCCCTGACCCCGGGGACCCCCAGTCTGATGGAGGAGACTCGGTCCCTGACCCCGGGGACCCCCAGTCTGATGGAGGAGACTCGGTCCCTGACCCCGGGGACCCCCAGTCTGATGGAGGAGACTCGGTCCCTGACCCCGGGGACCCCCAGTCTGATGGAGGAGACTCGGTCCCTGACCCCGGGGACCCCCAGTCTGATGGAGGAGACTCGGTCCCTGACCCCGGGGACCCCCAGTCTGATGGAGGAGACTCAGTCCCTGACCCCCGGGACCCCCAGTGTGATGGAGGAGATTTGATCCCTGACCCCCGGGAACCCCCAGTCTGATGGAGGAGACTCGGTCCCTGACCCCGGGGACCCCCAGTCTGATGGAGGAGACTCGGTCCCTGACCCCGGGGACCCCCAGTCTGATGGAGGAGACTCGGTCCCTGACCCCGGGGACCCCCAGTCTACTCGGTCCCTGACCCCGGGGACCCCCAGTCTGATGGAGGAGAGTCGGTCCCTGACCCCGGGGACCCCCAGTCTGATGGAGGAGACTCAGTCCCTGACCCCGGGGACCCCCAGTCTGATGGAGGAGACTCGGTCCCTGACCCCGGGGACCCCCAGTCTGATGGAGGAGACTCGGTCCCTGACCCCGGGGACCCCCAGTCTGATGGAGGAGAGTCGGTCCCTGACCCTGGGGACCCCCAGTCTGATGGAGGAGACTCGGTCCCTGACCCCGGGGACCCCCAGTCTGATGGAGGAGACTCGGTCCCTGACCCCGGGGACCCCCAGTCTGATGGAGGAGACTCGGTCCCTGACCCCGGGGACCCCCAGTCTGATGGAGGAGACTCGGTCCCTGACCCCGGGGACCCCCAGTCTGATGGAGGAGACTCGGTCCCTGACCCCGGGGACCCCCAGTCTACTCGGTCCCTGACCCCGGGGACCCCCAGTCTGATGGAGGAGAGTCGGTCCCTGACCCCGGGGACCCCCAGTCTGATGGAGGAGACTCAGTCCCTGACCCCGGGGACCCCCAGTCTGATGGAGGAGACTCGGTCCCTGACCCCGGGGACCCCCAGTCTGATGGAGGAGACTCGATCCCTGACCCCGGGGACCCTCAGTCTGATGGAGGAGACTCGATCCCTGACCCCGGGGACCCCCAGTCTGATGGAGGAGACTCGGTCCCTGACCCCGGGGACCCCCAGTCTGATGGAGGAGACTCCGTCCCTGACCCCGGGGACCCAGTCTGATGGAGGAGACACAAATCTTCCCCTGAAAAGCCCTGTCCTGTCCTCGTCCTTCCCGTTTGGGAAGTACCTGGGACATGGGATGGCCCAGTGTGTCCCCAGGAGAAAGGGTGGCACAGGCCCCTCTCTGGGAGCTCTGCACATGAGCTGGGCTGCAGGGCTCCCACAGTCTCTGTGGTTCACCCGCAGGACCCTGTGTCCCCGGAGGTGGGAGAGGAGGAGAGGAGGAGAGGAAGAGGCCTGGGGCCCGCAGTGGCCCTGGTCCAGCTATGGGTTTGAGGACATGGGGCAGGACCCGGACCCCACGCATACTCACGGGCCACCTGCAGTTCGAGCTCCAGTGTGTCAGTCTTGCCCTGCAGCGTGACGGTCTTGAGCGTGTATCGGCCCGCGTCGGTGAGGTTGAGCTTCTGCAGCAGCAGCGAGCAGTTGGCGAAGCCCACCTCCCGGCCGGTGTGCGCCGGGCCAGCGATCCAGCTCCCGGACGGCAGCTGGCTCAGCAGCCGGTTGGGCTCCGAGGCCGGCCCACGGTACCAGGCGTAGACCAGCAAATCCCTGGGGTAGCCGGGCACCGTCAGGGTCACGTCCTGGCCCTCTGTGGGCTTGCTGGGCACCGGCACGATCATCATGGACACGGCTGCCGCTGGGGAGAGAGTGGGCTGTGTCGGGGGATTGCACAGGCCAGGCCGGGGTGGGTGTGGGTGCCCTCCCCCCGGCTGGCACAACCCCTGCAGGTGCTGGGGCGGAGACAGAGGATGAGGGCACGTGTGGTGGTGGTGGTGGGGGTGGCAGCAGCATCTTTGTCCCCGTGGAGCCTGCCCGGCGTGTGTGTGTGTGTGTTCCGTCAGACCAGGAATTTCCAGCCCTGGCGGGTGTTTCTGTTGTCACACGGGAAGACTAGGGACTGGCTGCTCTCCTCCATCAGACTGGACCTTTCCAAAATACAGGGGCCAAGGCTCTCCTACCAGATCAGAAATTCCTGAACAGGGGGTGGGGTGTCTCCCCCATTAGAGCGCAGGGAATTGTCTCTTCTGCCAGGTCCAGGGGTTCCAGGACGTGGGACTATAACTCCCCCACGAGCTCGAGAGGGAGCAGGACCTGTCTCCTCCACCAGATGGGAAGTTCCCATGGGAGGTGTCTCCTCCATCAGATTGCAAATTGCCCATTATCAGGCGGATCTTCTGGGGACCCCATGAATTAGGTGAACATATCTTTTTCATCAGATCAGAAATTCCTACAAATTAGAGGCCAATGCTCCCCAATAAGATGGGGAGTACCCTAAAGGTGGGACCCTTGTCTCCTCCATCAGACTAGGAATTTTCCCAAAATGAGGTCATGTCTCCTCAAGACCATGTCTCCCATCAGAATGGCCATTCTGCCTTAAAGCCTCCTCCCTTTGACTGGAAGCTCCTGGAGTGTGGGGGAGCCCCGAGAGCCCTGGGAGTGGGGTTCCCTCTCCCCTGTGAGCAGCAGCTTCGAGAGTGGGGTCATGAGTGCCTCCCTGGTCGGGGTCATCTCTCCATGAGCGGGGACTGCGTCTCCCCGGGGGGAGTGGTGGGGACTCTCTCCTCTGTCTCTCTCCTGGCACCTGCCACACAGGGCTTCTGACACTCGTGGAGGCCCTTGGGGGTGCACCCCAGGCCCCCTGCCGTACCTGCATGTCTCGACCACCACCAGGCCTGGTCCACACCCTGTCCCCCGCCAAGACAGGCCTCCGAGGCCCCAGGCGGCGGCAGGAGGTCCACTTACCTCAGGGGTTGCCACTCCCGCTCTCTGGGGTGAAAGAGAGTCCACCCTCGGTGAGACCCAGCCTGTTAGTGTGAGGGAAGCAGGGCGAGAGGGAGGGACAGTCCCGCTGTCCCTGGAGGGGCGGTGATGGCACGTGGGGAGGAAACCGAGGTGGAACGGGTGAGTGTTGAAAGCATGGCCGCGTGTCCCCTGAGGAGCCCAGCCCTAAACCGCCTCTGCCCGACCGCCTGCCCCTAGGGCCATTTCAGGGCAGAGCAGGAAGACAGGCCTCCTGGAGCGCTTTCCTTCCTGTGGCCACCTGTGCCTGGGAAGCTTGGAAGACGGTGCAGCAGCCATGGGTGCGTGAGGCCCCAAGCTGCTGGCACCACGCCCAGGGACATCCGTACGGTCCTTCACTCTGCCACCCTAGGGTGCGGGACAAGTGACCCATCCTCATCCCGCCAGCCCTCAAGGAAGAGGGTGCCACTGGCCATTTGATTTCCACCTTTGCACCTACGTGAAGAGGAGCCCCTTGGCCGGCGAAGGGGCCGGAAACCCACCCCCTGCAATCCTCTGTTGGGTGCACGGCAGCCTCGCTGTCACTGTCCAGCGGGGCCTCCCTGGGGAGGGGCACTGGCCACGCCTGGTCAACTCACCGGTGAGCTTGACTACCACCGAGGCAGAGCCAGACAGCAGGGTCTTGGGGTTCTTAGCAATGCACGTGTAGGTGCCCTCCTGGGCGGCCGCCATGCCGCTGATGTTGAGGTGGTCTCGGCCGTTCTCCAGGGCCCGCCCGTTGAAGGCCCACACGTACTGGGGCTCCGGGCATGAGCGGGACACGCACCACAGGGTGAGGGACGTGTTCAGGTTGACTCTGATGGTGCAGCCGGTGCGGGTGGTGGAGTCCTGGAGGATGGCCACGCGCTCGGGTCCGACTGCGGGGTGGGAGGGAGAGACAGGGCAGTAGGGGGTCGGGGGAGATGTACCCCACTTTCCTCCAGGGACCATCGCGGCCCCTGGAGGGGAGAGAGAACTGTCTCTAACTTGCTCTGGGGTCTCCAGAATCGCTTCCCCTCCCCTGGGGGGGGGTCTCAATAATCTATGAAAAAGGTGGGTTTCACAGATTTCAAATCTATGCTTTGAAAATTCTAAGGGATGTTTCTTCTTTTTGTGGGGAGGGGTGGTGGTTTGGTTTTTTGAGACAGATTCTCACACTTGAGCTCACTGTGTAGCCCAGCCTGTCCTTGAACTCACAGTGATCCTCCTGCCTCAGCCTCCTGAGTGCTGGCATGACAGCTGTGTGTTGTGCCTGGGGATTTTTTTTTCTCTGACAAACCATTCTGAGTCTACAATTCTAAGGCTCTAAGATGCTCCTAGGTAGTGGCGTTCTAGGACTCTAGAAATCTATGTGGCTGAGATGCTAGACTAAGATTTTAAATGGATCCTAAAGTTCTGAGCATCTTCACTGCTGGTGTCTAGGGTTCTGAGAGTCTAGAATGCGGAGCTTCTGGGATGCAGAAATCTCCGTGTGTCGGGCTCCAGGATTCTAGGTTCTTGGTTTCTCTCCATTGCCCCCTTCCTGTACCTCAGGGGTTCTCCCAGGATTCCACACTGCCTTGGCTGCCCTGGGAATGATCTCAAGCTTTGGTTATGTTTTTGGTTACAATCCCTTCCACGCCCTCTTTGAAGCCCAGCTGCTCTGGGGTCCTTCTTCTCCCACTCCGACTGGTTTTGACTGGAGGGAGGGCTACCCGGTGTCAAAAGTGATGTCAAACTGCACATTTTGTTTTTGTTTCTTGAGACAGCGTCACACTCTGCAGCCCAGGGTGGCCTGCAGTGCACAGAGATCCTCCTGCTTCAGCCTCCCGAACACTGGGATACAGGTGTTCACCATCACGCCTGTTTTTTTTTTTTTTTTTTGGAACCTTGCATTTGTAGTGGCCGCCACCATGCCCGCTGGTGTTGACAGGCCCAGGGGATTCGAGAGGGAGCCCTGCCTGCATGCTAACCCGAGCCCGCCTCTCCTGGCCTCAGTTTCCCCTGACCGAGAGGTCCTCCCCGGGGGTCTGGCGGCGCCAGGAGCACTCACAGTACACGGTCAGGTTGAGCGGGGCGCTGCGGCTCGCACTGACCGGGTTCCGCACCTCGCACTGGTAGGCCCCGGCCTCCTCCCTGCGGACGCCGTGCCGGGTCAGCGTGCGGCCGTCGGGGGACAGGCCGAGGCGGAGGGCGACGGGCAGGACGTCGCCGTTGAAGAACCAGCGGACCTCGGCGGGCGCCGGGCTGTGGCACCGCAGGCGCAGCGTGTCTCGCCGCTCCACCAGCTCCGAGTCGTTGGCCAGCACCGAGGGCTGGGCCAGGATCTCTGTGGGGCGGAGACGGACCGGGAGGGGCCAGGCGGCGCCCGCTGGGGGTCTGGGGGCAGTCGGGGAGGAGGGCGTGGCGCCCCTGCCGGCGGCCGGAGCGTGGGTAGGAGCCGCGGCAATCCTGGAGGCCACCCCGATGGAGGTGCGCCTTTCAGGGTTTACACTTTTTTTCTGATTTGGTCTTTTTTCCTAAAAGAGGGCTCGGGGGTCCGTGGGAAGGCCTGGGGCGGGGAGGGGTGGCGGGGTGGCTCACCATAGACCTGCACGTGTCCGTAGCCCACCTCGGTCTGCAGCTGCCTGTTGAGGGTCTGCAGGATGTAGGTGCCCGAATGCCCGGGCAGGAGGCCCTGGATGTCCAGGCCGCCGTCGGGGCGCACGGCCTCCCGCCCCGTGTGGGCCGGGCCGGGGGTCTCGTCGCCCGTGCTCACGATGTAGCTGGCCACCAGGTAGGACAGGCTGAGCGTGGGCCCCGCGTACCAGCTGTAGGCCAGCTCTTCCCCCGAGAGCCCGCGGACCACCAGCGTGACGTTGTCCCCCTCGGCCAGCTGGGCCGGCTCGGGGGTGATGGTGATCTCGGCCGCTGCACTCAGGAATGCAGCTGAGGGAGAGGAGGCGGGGTTGGACGGGGCGGGAGGACCAGGCTGGGTCGAGGTGGAGGTCGGGGAGGCCGAGTTCACACCTGCGGCATCTCAGCCACGCGACAGGGCCTTCCTGGCAGCCTTATCTCTAGGTCCCCGAGGCGGTTGCCGCTAAGCTACACCTCAGCCTTTTCTGTGTTTTGCGATAAGGTCTGGCTGAGTTGCACAGGCTGGGTTTGTATTTGCAGTCCTCCTGCCTCAGCCTCCCAGAGTGCTGGGACGACAGGTGCGGGCCACCGTGCCTGGCTCGGTGCAGCTAATGGTGTGACCCCGTGTCAGACAGCAGGGTCTCCCGTGGGGCTGAGGCCCATGCAGGGCTCCTGTCTGCTCTCCAAGCTGCATCCTGCTCCAGAGAGCAGCTATGGGACCCCGATTTCCTTCTCAGAGAACAGACCAGCGCAAACCCAGGAGCCGCTCGGGGGCCTCTGGGGCTGGGAGTGTGTGGTTGCTGGAGGTGTGTGACCTTGGCTCTTGTCACGTAAAAGCACCTACCAAGCCTGGCCTGGTTTCCAGTGCTTTCCGGGCTGAAGGAATGTGGCAGGCCCTAGTGGCCTTGGTCTAGCACCAGCCCTGCCACTTTCTGGCCGAGCAGCCCTGGCCAGTGATATCACCTCTCTGTCTCCTCTGTCTCACTTTTCCCGTCTGTGAAGTGGAGCAACCAGCGGGGTCCCCTTCACAGGTGGGGTGTGGACAGGAGGCCCACGGTGAGCCCCCATCAGTGCTGCCTGCAAGGGCTGCCAAAGGACTCATCAGTGTGACCCATTTCACAGAGGAGTAAACTGAGGCCAAGGAGGGGGAGCAGCTGTCCTGAACTGCATTTCAGGGTAGAGGGGCAAGAGGTCAGGACTGGTGATGGTCATGGCTCCTGTAGCTTTTTACGGGCTTGCCACACGAAGGGGTCCCCAGAGCAGCCTTGCACGTCTCTCCGGGGTCAGTGTGCTGCCCTCCCTCTGTAGCATGCTAGCCTCCTGGCTCGCACCTTCCCCACCACCAGCTGAGGTCCCTGACCCTCCGCATGGCTCGGACTGCCACTCTCGCTCACCACCAAAGACAAGCCAGCTGCACCCGGTCAGCACCATCTTGCACCGCAGGCCGTGTCTTGAGGATGGAGACGTTGGTGCCCGGTGCTCAGAGGCCCTTCCTGGTTGGTGCCTGGCTTCATCTGCCGCCGGGCCCAGGAGCCGGGGGAGATCACCTGAATTTGGAGGGATTGAGTCACCAGCACTTGGGGCCCTGGTTGGGCACCAGGGTGGGTGTGGCGGGCACCGGCCAGGGGCCACGACCCGGCCAGGCCTCCTGGGGCGGCTGCCTGACCTTCTTTGTGCCAAAGGCCTGGATTTGGTGTAGGAGAAGCAGGTCACCGGGGAGGGAAGAGGACAAGGAGGACCTTACGACAGTTGACCACCCGGGCTCGTGGCCCCTGTGAGAGCAGGATCACCCAGGAATTAACTCAGAAATGGTGGCTGCCCAGTGTCCAGCTTGGGGCTTCAGGTGCCCAGCAGGGCTGGCCTGTGTGGCCATCAGGACGATGCTGTGAGGCTGCCACTTTTCAGGCCCCCCAGGAGCATTTGGGGAACCTGAGGCACAGGCATGGTCTCAGACTTGCTAAGTTGCTGGAAGGAGGGTTTGGGCCCAGCTCTGTCTCCAAAGGGAGAAACCTGGACACTTCTTGGTGGCCTTGCATTCTCGTTTCCCCCTACATATTTTTTTTTGAGACAAGGTCTCACCTTGTAACCTAGGCTGGCCTGGAACTCGCAGCGATCCTCCTGCCTCAGCTTCATGTGTGGTGGGATTATAGGCCTGGGCCACCATGCCTGGCCTCTTTCCCCACTTCTTGAGGCCTCAATTCTCTCCCTATCTGATGGACATCTGGTCTTTGACTCAAAGCAAAGTTTGGAGGGGTGCATGGTGGGGCACGCCTGTAATTCCAGCACTCAGGAGGCTGAGGCAGGAGGATCACAGTGGACTGGAGGCCAATCTGGGCTACACAGTGAGACCCTGACAAAGGAACCACAGCAACAAAGCAGGTGTTTGACTCTGGCTACCATCTCTGTGCACGCTCTTGAGAGGGGCAGGGACAGCCCTTTGCCGAATCCCCGCTTATTACCCTGGCAGCTAGAGATGGGTGGACCTCCTTTCCGGTTGACAGCAGCTGTGAGGTGCCACACACTTGCACTCCAGCCAAGTGGGCGTGAGGTCTGCCTGGCTCTGCTGGGCACGGTGACACACGCCTGTAACCCCAGCACTCTGGGAGGTAGAGGCAGGAGGATCACAAGTTCTAGCCCAGCGGGGAACATAACAATTTAGCAAGACGATGTAGCAAAATTTAAAAAAATTTTTATCAAAGGGTTGGGGATATAGCTTAGTGTAAAGGCTGTGGGTTCAAAACTGAGTATTGGGGAAAAAATGAAGTTCAGACTGTGGGCAGGCTGCACGGTTCCCTGCCTCCCTGATCCGGGCACACTATGGACCCTCAAAACCTCAGTCTCCTCCTCTGGAGAGTGGGTGCATTCCCAGTGCTCGGCCCCCTGCGTCTGTGGACTTTGCATTCACAGATCCAGCAAGTCCTGGAGTGAAATATTCTAAAACAAACTGCAGCTGTGCTCAACAAACAGGGCCTTTTGCTTGTCTTCATTGTCTCTGAAAACACAGCACACAGAGCCGTGTGTGACTCAGCCCGCAGCAGGAAGTGCTGAGTTTCTGTGCAAATACTGAGCTTTTGTGTGTGTGCCTGGGTTTTTTTTTTTTTTTTTTTTTTTTTTTGAGACAAAGTCTTGTTATGCAATTCAGGCTGGCCTTGAGCTCACTTTGCAGCCCAGGCTGGTCTCAAACTCTTTGATGATCCTCCTGCCTCAGTCTCCCGAGTGCTGGGATTACAGGCGTGCACCTCCACGCCCGGTTTATGCATGTGCCTTGGAGTCAGTTTCTTGCTCTGCAGCCCAGGCTGGCCTGGAACTCTCTGTGGCTCACTGTGCCTCACGTGAGCCGCTCTGAAGTTGGGATCCGGCACCGTGGCGTTTGGTCCCCCAGTGGCTCTGCTCGGGGCCTTAGCAGCTGCTGCTGCTGTGGGACTCGCTGAGCCCTGGAACCTCAGCACTCTGGGAGGCAGAGGCAGGAAGATGGCAAGTTTCCGCCCAGCGTGACTTAGTGGGACCCTGTCTCAAGATAAAAAAGGGTTGGGTGTGTAGCTCAGTGCAGAGGTCGGGGCTCAATCCCCAGGGCCACAGAACAAGCGAGGAGCCCTGGGAAGATCGCGCAGTGGTGCCTCCCACAGTGAGGGCTCAGCTCACACTTAAATGGCAGACATTTAATGATCACCTACTGTGCGTCAGGGGAGAAAGGGGTCTGACATTCACGGAATCACCAAGGAAAGGGTGTTTTATTCCGCTTGCCTTCTGCATGGGAAGATGTCTTGGAGAAGGTCAAGGGGTTAGGGGCCTCAGGGGCTCCCCACGGGTCTGCTTTTATTTCCTGTATCTTTTTGTTTTGTTTTGTTGTGAGACAGTCTCACTTATGCTGCTGAGGCTGGTCTTGAACTCATGGTGACCCTCCTGCCTCAGCCTCCCCAGTGCTGCTTCCAGTGCGTCTTGATGGCTACAGGTGCCGGTCCTCTGAGGCCCGGCAGGCTGCTTGGGGACTGGCCATCCCGAGCTGCCCTGTCCTGCCTGCTTGCCTCTGCCGGTGTCCCAGGCTGCCCTCAGGGCTGGACTCTGATGGGTGGGGGTGGGGCCGTTCGGGTGCCTGCCTCCCCCAACCCGGGCAACCTCACCTCACCCTGTTTTGTCCTGGCTCTGCCCTCGCTGAGGCCCAGGGCAGTGTCCTGCCGTCACATCAGTGTCCTCATGTCCCTCCGTGCCTCTCACCTGTCCCAAGTTGACCTCAGCATCTTCCCAGGTAAGCCCTGGTCCTCTTACAAGGGTGCCCCTCCCTTCTCGGGGACAGGGGACCCGGGCTCGTAACCCTGAGCATTCCAACGCCCACAATGTTGCCACCTACTCAGGGCTGGAGCTGGAGCCCAGGGCCTCCCTGCTGAGCTGGATCCACAGTCCTGACCGTTTTTATTTGGAGATCTGGTCTTACCAAGCTTCCCAGGCTGAGACTGAACTTTGAATCCTCCTGCCTCAGCCTCCTGAGCAGCTGGGATGCAGGTGTGTGGAACTCTTTGTGTGGGTGTGACGGGGTCTTGCTCACAGCCATCCTCCTGCCTCAGCTTCCCCAGTGTTAGGGCTGTGAGTATAGCACCACCTCCAACTAGTGATGCCTCTTTAATGCCTCTTCTGAGCACCCCGAGCCTGGCTTCTCCCTCGCCCACTGCCTGGGCACCCCTGCCCATGCTCCTGTCTTCCATGTGTGGCGCACAGAGGCTCTCCCTGAGGCACAAACCTGCCCCTGTGCCTGCCCAGCTCCGAGTTGCTGTGGCTACCTGGGTCTGCAGGAGAAGACAGGACTCCTGCATTTCCTCCTCCAGGAAGCCCTCCGGGGCTGCCCCCAGCTCTCCCATCCCAGCCCCACCACCCCACACTCTCCTTGGGATGTGTCTGTCCTGGCCCCCTCAGAGGCCTGGCCCCCGAGGGGCCAGCGCCAGGCTGTGCTCTCTGTGTCCCCAGCGCCAGCCAGCTCATGGCAGGGGCTCAGAGTGTGTTTGTGGAACCGGACACCCAGCGAGCCAGCCGGAGCCAGCCGGTCCCGGGGGAGGCCGGGTTTCTGGTGCCGTCCTGGGCCGAGCAGCTCCACAGGCTGGGCTGGGAGCGGCTTGGAGCAGGGCCGGCTTTGTACCCCGTCCCTCCCGCCCTGGCGTCACATGCCCGGCGCTGTCTGCACCCCTGGCATCCCTCTGTGCCATCCTGGCCTCCTGCTGCTCCCTACCACCTGGTCCTGGGCCCAGGGGGAGGAGCGGGTTCCGAAGTCTTTTTTTATTTTTCCCCTCAGCACTGGTGACTGAACAATCCAGGGCCTTTGCACTGAGCTACCTCCTCTCCTCACCCCTTTTAATATTTTATTATTTTGAGACAAGTTCTCACTGTAGGGCCAGGCTGGTCTCTTGCAAGCCTCCTGCCTCAGCCTCCTCCCAGGGTTGCAATTGCAGGAGTTCACTGTTGGTGCTGGGGTTCCAGCTACAAACTGGAGAGACCCAGAGTTCCATTGGCTGGGGAGATGTAAAGAGACTGACAGATACAAGTACGTGTGATATTGCATCAGGCAGCTCGGACCCGTTGACCTGTGGACAGACATAAAGCAGGGGGAGAGATGGAGGTGGCTGAAACACAGCAGGCAGCAGGAAGGAGGCCACCCTGGAGGAGACTTGCAGTGTGGGAGGCATGCAGAAATCTGAGGAAGGAGCTATGCATGCTCTGGAACAGCAGGTGCAAAGACCCTGGGGCAGAAGTGTGTTGTGGAACATGAGGAAGACTGAGGGGTGGCGGGACCTGAGTAATGAGAGTTGAGAAGGTATTGAGAAATTCTCACAAGGTCTCACGGGCCACCCAGAGGACTCTGGGTTTTTTATTCATTCATTCATTTTATACTTTATTTATTCATTTTGGAGACAGAGTCTCACCACGTATTTCAGGCTGGCCTTGGACTGACTATGGAGCCTACCTAGGCTGGACTTGAATTTGCAGCCATATTCCTGCCTCAGCCTCCCTAATGCCGGGATGCCTGGTTCCTGCTGGGATTTTGCGGGGATCTGGCCACACTGGAGAGGAGGCTGGAGCCCAGTTGACTGTGATCGCCTGGCTGTCCTGTCCCTGAAGGTCACCCTCAGCCTGTAGCTTTTCCAAACTGAGATCAGCTCTGAATGAAACTGTACACCAGAGACTGAAGACAGCGCAGCCCAAGCGAGGTGAAGTAGCTCATTCTGGTGTTGATTTCATGTTGAAATGGCAGCATTTTGCGTGTATTGAGTTAAATCGATGCGTTTCACCCGTTTCTTTTTCCTCACGTGATACCAGAAAGTAGAAAGCTGTTCCCGGGGCTCACAGGGTATTTCTGTTGGTCGGAGCTGGGCCAGGGAAGGGGCCAGAGTGCGGCTCTGTGCGCTGAGGTCAATCTTTCCTTTTTCTTTCTTCTCTGTTTCTTT